CATCCCTATTGTCAGCCTAAGTCCTAGTCGACACCTAAAAGTTGGTCAACAGCTGTGCCAGCCGATCCCAGCTACAATGATGGTAAAACCCTCTTCCATTGCTGTAGGAAGCATCTCCATTGCGGCGCTGTAACAGGGCACTGTCACACCTGTAGATTATGGCCTAGCAGTTGGAGCTATCACCCCATTCTGCAGCCAGTGGAGGAAAAAAAACAGGAAAGTGCTCTCCCAAGTGCATACTAAGCAGGGGCTGTTGCCAAGGTATGCCCCCACAGGATGTGGGATGCATACTCCACCTCACACCTCCAAATCATGCCTACCCCAATTCATAATAGAACTTCAGTAGTTCCAAGAGACCCTCTGGCCCTGTGGAGGAGAGGACAGGATTTCCCATCGTCTGCAACAGATTTGAGGCGTTTGATTTTTTTTTCTTAATTTCAGAGATGAGCATTTTTTAGTGGTAAAATGTGTTCCCCTGCAATCTGTTTTCTTTCACGCCCCCTGCACTTCTTCCCCCAGGGCTCCTAAGAGTACTGGCCTGGCAGCGATCTGAATGGAAATCCTCTAACCATACAAGCTACTGGCCACAAGCTGTGGCAGTCCAAGCTTTACCGTGATCGGAGAGGTTCCTTCCACCCAGCACAGGGAGTAGTTTTAGTGATGAGGGCACCTGTTCATTAGAAATTGTATGGGGAAAATCAACTCCTTGTTCTCAGTGGAGGTCATTGTCAACAGTCCTGCCTGTTATCTACTGGTTCTCAAACTAAGTTAATCAGGCCTCTCTTCATGTCTGTGGTCATTTATGTGCCCTCCCTTCCTCCTCCCCCGGCCATACATATGCTACCACCCAGCTCTGAGGGAGAGAGGAGAGCAGCGGCTGCTGATTGGACGCCCAGTTCAGAGGGCAATAGCAGCATAGGAGGGGAAGCCCGAAAGGCAAGGCAGGAGGAGGGACACTGGGTAAACATAGCCACTGTGAAGGCACAGGGCTTCTATGTGAGTGATTATGTCTCCAGCAGTTCCCTAGAGACCCACCAAGTGCTGGGAGTCACCACACAAATTATCCCTGGAGGGGAGCACCCTGATTTCCCATGTTTTCTTTTTCCTTAGCCTCCACCTGTGGATTTTTGGGGGGGGGAGATGGGTGTTATGTGGCTCACTGGGCTATTTAATAAACATCAGCTGAATAAACTATTATGAAAAATAGCAGCAATAAAAGACAACCCCGTGGTCTCTTTTGCTGAAAGCTGGAAACATCTCTCAGACTTCAAGAACCATTCAGAGTATAATACGTTTTGTGTGCAGTTGTGTTGCTAGGGTCTTTCTCAGCAACACTGAGGCCCCGATTCGGCAAAGCACTTGCATGAACTTACCTCCCTTTGAAGTTACATTAAGCACACGTTAAACAGCTTTGCTGAATAGGGATGAGATTACTGAGGAGCTTAAAGCTAAGCACACACTTAAGAGCTTTCTTGGGTAAGGATCTTAATGACTGTGGTGCTGAATGCTACAGGAAAACATATGGGGAGATTAAATAAGTCCACACAGAGAGGCTGTGGGTATATGTAGATGTCTGGGACAGAGGCTACATCTAGACTGTAGAGTTAAATAGGAAAAAGATGCACAATTTGCGATATGCAAATTGCGTATCTTTTTCCGATTTTATTTCGAAAGAGGTTTTTCCGTAATTTGGCCACATATATACAACACACAATTTCAGAAAAACCTGCTCTTTCGACACATCCCTTATGCCTTATAGAATGAGGTTTACAGGGATGGCGAAAGACCGTGTCCACTTTTTCAAAAAAAATTTAGGAAAAGCGGACACGTTCCTTGGACATGGCATTGCTTTTCCAGGGTACCTCCAGTATCCCAGAAAAGCGCTGCAGTCTAGATGTAGCCTTACAGATTTCCTTCAAAACTTTGGACCTCCATGAAGATGGAGACATGCCTGTTACCTCTGCAAGTCTCTTTTTTACACAGGTTGTAACATAGAAGTCTAGTCTTCCAGAGGAGATAGAGGTTTTCTCTTATGAGAGGGCAAAGATGATTATGATACAAATTTTACTCGTAGATCTGTCAGGGTTTGTGAAGATCTGTCGTGTGCCATGCCAATGTCCAGTGGACTGCCACCATTTTTTGTAGTTGGATTGTCACTGAGGGTATGTCTACGCTACCGAGCTTTTTCGGGAAAACGGCCATTTTTCTTCTATTACATCCACACTGCATTCACATTCTTTCAAAAGAAAATTGAAAGAACAGAGGGGTTTTTCCGGGATTGGTAATCCTCTTCCTATTAGAAAGAAGCCTTTTTCCAAAACAGCTCTTTCAGAAAAAGGCACATGTGGATGGGGAAGAGGGAGTTCTTTTGGAAGAAGAGGAAAGAGGAAAAAGCACAGGTGCCCTGGTGGCCACTCCATCCATAGTAATCACAGCTTACATGCGAGATAGCGTCCATTCAGTGTGGACGCTATCTTTCGAAAAAGCAGATCGCTTTTTTGATGTGCTTCGGCAGTGTGGATGCTCTCTTTTGGAAGAAGTTTTTTTCAGAAGATCTCTTGCGGAAAAGTTTCTTCTGAAAGAAGCCTGCAGTCTAGAAGCAGCCTGAAAGGTGCTATGTAGATCCCCCAAGTCCATGCTGCTTTAGTATTTGTCTGTTATTTACATAGTGCTCAAGTGTGTTGATTGCTTTGTTGGTTTGTTTTATCAAAGACTGGAAGAATTCCCTGGAATTGCTTGGGTTCTTAAATCAGTTGGGTTTTTAATAAAATGAAAATGTACATGCTTCATTTAAATCATTGATCTGAGGTAGGGCTGGGGTTGAGTAGTTCAATATGCTGGCTACCCAGGAGAGGACAACCCCAGTCCTCTCTCACTGCAGCAGGTTGGATGCCAGTGAGAAGTGCTTCTGCATGGCTGCTGCAGCTCCAACAGGCACAACCAGGAGAGGGGTGCATGTCCCCCGACTGGGGCAGGTCCAGGTTCATCTGCTCCCTGCCCTCCTCAGCCAGAGTGAGGTATGCAGCCAGCTGTGCACTTCCCACTCGCTCCCTAAGGAAAGGAAACAGCCAGCAATGTTCCCCGTATGAGTCGGTGTGTCTCAGCAACTTTCAGGTTATCTTTGCACCATTGAACCAATCCGAGATGGGAAACTCACCAGCAGTGTTTTTTATGCCTCTTACGTCATAATCAGTACAAAAAGATCCTATGGCATGAACTTTACTTGTCATTTTTTGTCCGGGAATTACAAAACTAGTTTCTTTTTCCATAAACTATGGGTATTATAGTGCAAACAGCATTAAAACCTTTTTTGATCAGTAAAGCAAAGATAACTGAAAATACACAGGGAAATGATGAGTGAAGATTGCTTTTCTGACTATAACTACACTTTAAACACCTGTAAATGTTTATTAGTCACTGGCTAGGTATTTGTGAATGAGTTGCTTGTATCCCAATGAAGTGAAATGCACAAAAATGTAGGGGTGTAACAAACATTACAGTGAAGAGAAATTTTCACATGTGGAAAGCAAAAAGGGGTTTACCTTGAAAATAACCTTTTCAGTGTAAGAAACAGACCAACACCATATAAATAAGAAGGAAGCTAGGAAGAAAAGATGGAGAAATACCAAGAAAACGGGGGGCGGGGGGGAATCTTTAAACCCCAAATGTTATTATCTTCTTGTATTTTCTTTTATGGAGTTTGGTGTCCAGTTAATAACGAATAATTTTAATCTTTGTCCTGTTCATACATTAGTATTTCTGAGCTGATAACTGAGTAGACTTGGCTCTTACCTCGGATTACATTTTGTTTCCTGATAAGTGACAACAACAACCCCCACTGACTGTGGTGTGTATGTTACAAAAAAAAAAATCTCTTTTTTATTATTCGGTGTAAGCCAACAGCATCAAAGGAATGAGCTGCCCCCACTGGTCTCACAGCTGCTGCCTGTCTCTGTTCTGTACATACGCTAAATTAATTGGAAAAACAGGGACAAAAAGGCATTTAGTTCAGGTCAGCCTCTTGGACTACAGCAAATACATGACAGACTTAATCATTGTCTTTTGCGAAAGGACTGGTTGGCAGGAGCAAACTCTCCCAACCCTTCCTTATGAAAACTGGGTTTTTTCCAGTGCCTTGGAGCGTGGAAGCGGTGACAGGAGGTACTCTGCACAGAGCACAGGCATGGTCCTATCATCAGGCTGTGACGTCAAGGGTTTTTTTCAGGACAGGTTATTTGTCCTCATCAACCGTGAAGTGGCGTTTCAGCCTTAGTTCATTACAGCTTCATGGATGTAGCTGAAGAAAAAAATTCTGTTTCCCCCTTAATAGCAGTGATGTGGTTAATTATTGAATTCTTGTCGGCTTCAGGTCAGTTTGTGGCGCCATGCTAAAAACAAACATATGGAGAACCTTTGTTCCATGGCCATCCTGTTTTTGACATTGTGCGTATAAATGAGTATTGTCAAACTTGTAATAAAAGCCCAACCCTCGTAGTAGTTTGCAGACTGGCTCATCTGAATTTGTTTGTAAATAGAAACATTCAGTTTACAATAAGGATAAATTGGCAACTCAGTAAAATGAGTGCAGGTACATCTTTTTAAATTTCTTCCAGTAGGCATTTTAGAAGTGATAAATTATGAGGCATTTCAGTATGCATTCTGTATTATAGCAGAAATTAATATGTGGTGTACATATTTAATGGTAGTTAGATTGGTTTTCTTCTGAAATCCAAAAGAAAAAAATATGGGGTGATGTAGTGTGTAAACTGAAAATTGGTTTACATTCAAAATGGGCCAGAGAAATATTACTAACAATTGGTACAGAGAAGAACTTGTTCCCCATTCTTTTCTCTCAAGGAAATGGAAATTAGTGGAAGTTATTGTCCTCGGTTTTATTCTTAACAGAATGAATGTTACCTTACAATTATTTTTTTCTTTCCACATCCGTGATCTTGACTCTACAAATAATCTCTTTTTTTTTCTCTCTCTCTCTATTCCAGGCCTTCTGCCTTATCTAGTAGTCCAACATATTCAGATCTTCCCTTCATTAGAATTTCCCCACACAGAAATCCAGCTGCAACATCAGAATCTCCCTTCAGTCCTCCTCACCCTTACATTAACCCTTATATGGACTACATCCGATCACTGCACAGTAGCCCATCTCTGTCCATGATCTCGGCAGCCCGTGGACTCAGCCCTACGGACGGTGGGTTTAAGACTGGTTTCCTGTTTGCTGTCATTGTGGCAACTTCAGTTATATTAATCTTGTCAACATTTCTTTTTTTTTCCTTCATTCAAAGCTGCTTCAGCAGATTTGTCAGCCATATTCATTATGTCATAAATGTTTCAATACTTCATCAGCCTATTGCTGATCTTTTGTACATTTCACAAATGTTGAAACTTCAGCAAAAAAAAAGATTCCTCATTCAAAATTAAAAAATGTAACAATGTTTATGGCTTCTAATATCTGCTGCTTTGTGGGACAGACAGTGTGTATGATTCTGACCTAACATAAAACCCAGGAATGGCTGCAGAGAAAAAGCAAACCAGCTCATATAAATCATTATATCTCCAGCAAATTCAAGGGATATATTGTGTCGGAAAGGTCTTTTCCTTTATTAAAATAGTACTTTTATTATCTTAAGTGCACACTGACTTGCTAATATGGATCATTATAGCTCTATTTAACTTAAAGTGAGCTACACCAATTTACACTAGCTGAGGATAAGATGAATGAAATTACAGTGATATATGTGATTGGTGATTGAATTAGGTGCTGCATATTAAATGACTGACATTTAAGCAGCATACAAAAAAAGTGGTGTTCCGTGCGCTTTGACTAGGATTTCTATATTACCTCCCTGTTTATGTGATCTAAATTATAATGGACCAATATCATCAGTCTTTACTCAGTCCTGAGTAAAAATTCCCATTGATTTTAACGTGAATTTTGTCTTAGTGAGCAGTGAACAGAAACACATGTGGGCTGGACTCTGTGAAGTGTGGTTTTTAACAGTACATCAGTAGTTTGACATTTCAAAATTGCTCTATTGTGCTCAGTGGAGTTATAATGGGCCAAATTAGCAAGTGAGTGTTTAGTGAAGATAATTAAACTACTATTTTAATTAAAGAAAAGATCTTCCCAGTGCTAACACAAATTTACAAAAAAGACATACTGCCTTCAGCGGAATTTGAAAAATGAGTAGTGTACTCTGTTCAAATGGATAACTAATTAATCCTCGCTTGTAAAAGCCTATACCTTTACACTAACCCATTAGTTATGGGTGCATATTCTTATGAGAATACATTTTAATGATCTAATGTCAATCAAAATGTATGTACACATGTAGGGATTTCTGGTGGTTGTGTAAGTCATTGTTAATTCTACACTTTTTTATTTTAACAAAAATGTTAACACTTTGCTGATTATTGTGAAATCCTTATATTGCCTCAAAGAAGTTCTATACATTTATTGTAAAATAAATATGTTATAACTTTTAATAGCTTTTTGAAATCTCTTTTCTCCATTTCTCACTCCACACAAATATATTTATATTAATTTATATACAAATATATTGTCTTACACAAATACAGAGATATAGACTTTTGTTTACTGTATCTACAGTAAAACCTGTCTGAAATGATCTATTAAGAAATCAAGAATTAGACTGCTTAGAACATAATCACTTGCAATCTCTTATAGCAGAGATTGTATTTATTTTTGCAAACTGTGTACACATTTAAACAAACTGTAGGCACTAAACAAATAAAAGAAAATTTAATAAACTTTCCTAATAAAAGGGCTCAAGTTAGTACTCATTTTATGAATTTGGCCAGAGTCACCTCTTAAGACCACAGATTGGCTAATAAAGGTGGATTCTTGCACATATAAAATATATTTTATTGCATATATGTAATGTATTTATATATTTGATTTTCAGGCAATGTATAGGTACTTACATAGTACAACAATAGTCAGCATATAAGAATCATTCATGGTAGTAGTGCAGTATACATATTGCATACAAACTACGTAGTATAATTTGATATATAGGGATATCATCATGGACCAAAAAAGGCAGGAATCCTTTAATAGCCCTCATTATGAAATCAGAGGCTTTCACAGAGCAAAATCCTTGGGAAATATAAGTGGAGAAAGGAAAAAAAATTCTAACAAATTGTGTACGGATTTATTACTTTTTTATTGCATTTTAGTTGCATGTAATTATCCTTCGATGGCATATATTAATATTATAAAAACAGTAAAAGTAGCAATATAACTTATGAAATAAATCTATGCATATACAGGTGTTTTTAAAACTTAATATAGAGAATAATTTGATCATTCCTATTAAATGAGATTCCCACGTAATTTCACTTACACTAAATTCCACCTCTGATGCATATAGAAATAAAAAAAAAATCAGTATACTGGATCTCTGTTATCCAGCATGAAGTTTCATAGGTATCCTAATACAAATTTGTCTAATTTAAGATTTTAAAGTATGTTGCACAGAATTTATAATTAGCCAAGTAATAGTCAAGTTGGCTTAGTCAAGTATGCAACTCTACAGCCTTTATTCAGGGAGATCTCCTCAAATCAGACCCTAATCTCCCTTGTTTGTTGACCATTCCTACTATAATTTACAAATAATAAATAATAGTTCTAGTATATACCTGTGTATGTAAATACACACATTGCTAAAGTTATAAGTGGCTTGACTGTAAATTATGTCTCAGTTTGCATTTGAAGGCAGGTACAATTATGTTGCCGTCCTGTCAGTCATGATGAGATGGCCATTGCCAGTTAAGTTGCTGTAGGTCAGTTAGATAATTTTGGTCTCAATCCACAATTGCTCTGATACTGGCCAGGGGGCAAAACAGCCTATCACATAATGTAGAGCAGCTTTAGAGCTGTTCTGCATTATGTCACTTGCAGCCAATGGCTACAGTAGCTGAGAATCTGTCTGAGTGCTTTGAAGCCCATGTCATTGCCTCACCCATGAAACAAATGGTGTGCAGCCAGCTCTGTTGGCTTTGGTCTACCCATTGCTTTCCCACAGCAACACAAAGCAACCAGAGATGGGGCCGAGGACTAAACCAATTGTTATATATACCATTAGTGCCTACTCTGCTCAGTTTTGTCTATGCAGCAGAAAGTCACAGGATATGTGATTCTTTTCTGATTTATTCAGGTGTAAAGCAGGTGTAACTCCACTGAAGCTACAGTGATGTAAAAATTGGTGTAAATGGGAAGGGAATTAGGACCACAGTCCTTGCCCTGAAAAACTCAAATTCTAAAGGTCCAGTCAAAGGGCAGAGTTGGACAGAGAATCTCTTAATGGGGTAGTTCTGCATATATGCTCATGATGAAGTTTACATATGAAAGCAGCCTCATTGAGTGTTGCTTTCATAAAAATACTTACTTATTTAAAAAATAAATTGCACATCATAACTATACTGAATTACCCTTCCACCAATTCATTATTAGTTGGCCAACTTATTGGATTTAGAGAGGGTCTTAAGGAAAGATTTCTTAGAGAAACCAAAAGTTCTTTCCATTTATAGAACATTGGGAATATAGTTGTGTTCACTATTCGCCTTTACAAGTTCTAAAGCATTTCCTTTTAAAGCTTACAGCCAATGTTATTGTTAGTTAACCCAGACACTTACCATATGTCAGAAAGTTCAGGAAGTGTTTTAAGTGTGTCTGGAAAGATACCATGGTCATCTACTACTGTAAAACTTTAAAATCAGTAACTCAGTATAATGAGTGAGGGCATTTTTTTTATTTGTGGTCAAATATTTTTCTTACCATTTTACAGAAAAATGGCAGTGGGCAAGGTGAAGATTATATTTATTTTAGAAATCAATTTGCAATTTGAAAACAAGAATAACACCTCTTAGCTCTCTTGTGGTTTCTTTTTCCTGCACTGTCTAAAGTTCTTTTATTTTTCTTTAATATTTCCTAAAGTTTGATTTAAAATAGTATTTATTCTTCATTTTATGTCAGATCTCATGGTATAACATAGAAAACAATTTATTTTATAATATAGTAAAATCCTCTGCTCTATTAAAGCCTGTTCCTGTAGGAGCTCCCATTCTAATGCTGTCATTTTATTTTTCCTCTAAGAATAAACATTGATACTATGTTTCTGGTGTTTCATTTAGGACATGCTCCTTCAAACACTAATACAAATAAGCCCCTTTCCCCGTTTTAGCAGTCCAACGTGTATACAATTATCCCGTGTTTGCAGCATTACTGCTTAAAGTTTTATTTCTACTCAGAACATAGCCAATGAAATGGTGGAAGAATAGCACTGAATAATAAGTGTAAATATAAAAATACACTGTTACTATAGCACCCTTAAATCTGTGGCTCTCAAAGTCCTGTTCAGCTGTTAGTGACTGCACATTCTTCTGAGCACACCCCTAGTTCGATTAAGGGAGGCTAATGAGTGTGACCGAAATTGCAAATGAAGCGCAGGATTTAAATATCCCGCACTTCATTAGCATGTTCCCGGCCGGTCGCCATTTTAGAAATTGACTAGCCTGAAGTAACTGCCCGCGTCTACTAGCAGCAGTGAAACAGGATTCCGAATTAAAGCCCTAAATCGAATTAGCTGATATTCCTCCTGGAATGAGGTTTACCAGCTAATTCGATTTAGGGCTTTAATTCGGAATCCTGTTTCACTGCTGCTAGTAGACGCGGGCAGTTACTTCAGGCTAGTCAATTTCTAAAATGGCGACCGGCCGGGAACATGCTAATGAAGTGCGGGATATTTAAATCCTGCGCTTCATTTGCAATTTCGGTCACACTCATTAGCCTCCCTTAATCGAACTAGGGGGCTAGTGTAGACATACCCTAAGGGAAATGTTATTGTCTCTGCTTTACAAATGACCAGGCAAGGAGTAGAGAGAGAGAGAGAGAGAGTGAGTGAATTGCCCAAGCTCACCCAGGATGTTTGTGACAGGAACAAGAACAGAGCCCATCTATTCTAATGGCTAATCTTCTGCGTGAGCCACAAAACAGTTGTGTAAGAGGGACACTGAAAATGAAATATTGTTTAACTTACGTAGATATTCCTCTTAGTCCAATATTATACTTCTGCTCATGGCATGGAGTTTTGTGATGCTTCAAATTGTATGGGGTTAAAAGCAGACCATGAATATTTTTTGCAGAAAGAGAGTTGTTTTCTATAGGTCATTTGCAGGAAATGAGATGATTCATGAACTTGGTAACGGCATATACACCCTCTCTCCTCTATGGCTCTGAGCCTTACATGCCTAAATAGGCCCATTGAGGTCATTGGGACCACTCTCATGAGTTCCATTACTCACATATATGTATGTAGGACCGGGAAGGCTTTACTCATTAACATGAATCCATCCTTGGCTAAAAATGCCTATAAATTTTTCCTGTCTGACAGCTAATTTGCTCTAATGAAATTAGTTTGTCCAAGTCCAGTTCTGAACTTCACAAAAAATTCCCCCATTAATGATGTCCTTTTTGGTAATCTCGGCAGGGTGCTCAGAGATGTGAATGAGCATGGAACTTGGACTGTTTCACTAGAAGTGTTTCATGCTAAGGCCGAGACACATTGCCGTGGGAGAGAAGCTTTTACCGCTTTTTCATGTGACTAAATAAAACGTATTAGTTTCCTGGCCTGTCAGTCAGTCTGTCACTTTTACATTCACTTATAAAATAAATATAAAAAATGAGGTCACTGTGAATGGTAAATGTCAGTAGTAAATGAATATTTTATGTCTTGCCGTTTTGTGAATGATGTCTTTGCAGTATCACTGGTTGAAGTATGTTGACTGAAGTGGCACAACTGCAGATGTTGCATTGCTCTAAAAATAAACAAGCCAGTTTAATAGCCAAAGGGAAGCAGCAGTGTAATAAAATTTTGCCTCTTGTTTGTCTTACGTCATTAATAGTGCTTTTTTATGTTGTGTTCTTAGCACCACATGCTGGAGTCAGTCCAGCTGAATATTACCATCAGATGGCTCTACTGGCAGGTCAGCGCAGCCCATATGCAGATATCATTCCTTCGGCCGCTACTGCAGGAGCTGGTGCCCTTCACATGGAATACCTTCACGCCATGGATAGTAAGTGATCATGCTGTAAAAAGTGAGGCAAATTAAGGCCGTGATCATGAAAAGAGAACCCCATGGGTGAATTCCCTGCGCTCATGGGAAGCCCCATTGTCATCAGAAGAGCTCTGTGCAGATGGAGGAGTCTGTGTCCGCCTGATTCTCTTTATAGAATTGGAGCCTAAAAGCCATTTAAATGTGAAGAGAGAGGTGGCAAAGTGAATCTGATGATAATCTTTGCGAGGGTCTAGGAAGATAAACGTGATTGCTTCTAAAAATAAAAGGTTGTGGGTAATAGTAACTTTTAGTGGACTCAGATTCCGAAATGACTAAATGTTTTTGTAGAGGCTACCTTCCATTAACAAACATCAAGTTTCCATATAATTTTTTTGTTAGTCTCTAACGTGCTGCAAGGCTATTCATTATTTTTTAAAGTTTTTTTCAAACATTAAATCATATTTATCTTCAATGTTGATATTTCTGTTGCAGTTGACATCGGTATTCATTGTTAATAAATAAACATTTACATCCATTTTCCTACTGTTAGTATCCACATTCCCTCAAAAAGAAAAAAAGCCAGCAACCAGTCAATATGAACAGTTCTTCTTTTATTAGAATTTTCTAAAATATCTTCAAAGAGCAGCATAAAATACATTTAAAAATTATGTATCCTAAAACTGACTAAGCTTTGGCATTGTTTCTGGCTCAGGCGACATGGATGGCCAAGTCTCCACGGATCCCTCCTCAAATTTCTAAGCTATATGCCTCCTTCCACTTCTGGTGCCATTTTCAAGACCATTTATCAAAGCCACCATTTCTCTTCCCAAAGTTGAATGGAGAACACTCCATCTGAAGCTTCTCACTGCTGTTTTTTAACAGCCAAAGAGGGTTACTGTAGAGTTGTGTAAAGTACTGCAATCATAAGCTGCTAACATTGTAAAATGCTCTCATTCTGCTCCCCCCACCACCACTGCCACCACGTTAGCTTGGGAAGTAAGAAACTGGGGCTAGGAATGAAACCTTGTTGCCTCTCTGGTGGAAGCACACAGCCATACTATGTTATTAGAGCACTGGTTTAGCCTGAGACTCTTTTAATTCCTTGCCAGCATGTGGTTTCTTCAGCTCTGTATCTCATTACTGACCATGTTCCATGGCTGTTGATCCCAAGGAATATGCACAGAATGTGGGAATTATGAGGCTCATCCGTAGGAAGCATGAGGACAGAAGAAAGTCCCTGTTGCAAGGAGATTCATTCAAATATGTTAAATAAGTGACTGATACATTTTCCCTAGTCAGGCAAGATATATTATACCGTTAGTTGAAAAGGTGAGCACATTTTTTTTAACAATTCAGCTGAAGTTAAAAGAATTGTGTATTCTATATTGAATTACTGAGCATGGTGTATTACATAGGTACAGTATTCCAAACATGCTCATTTTCTACAGAAGGTTTTGAAGGAGAAGGCAGAGGCATAAGGAGGGAAGGCAAAAGGCTATTTATGTGTTTGGCACATATTACTACAACTTATTATAATGTTCATTTTCTGCTTTATGGATGGTTCAAGACATGTATGTCTAATAATCACTTACACTTACTTGGGCATATCCTCAACTTGTGTCAATGTCATAGCTCCACTGAAGTCAATGGAGCTATTATTATTTATACTAGCTGAGGATCTGGTCTATTGTTTATAATCGCCTGGATGCCAAAGTGCTTGAGTGGGCCCAGTCCAAACTGGCATGCTGACCTATTGTAATTTGTCCATTCAACATTCATCTTCCATGATGATGGGCATTCTAGAAAAACCTAAAGAGACAGATAAAATTCTATGTCACTTAAATAATGCCAGAGACATCAGAAGATCTTCTTGTGGAGTAAAAGACTAGAGGATTAAGTTTGTTATATTATGCATAGAAATACAGCTTCAGCATCAGAAATAATTACCTTTCTTAAATGAACAATTTTGCTGTGGCGTTGCTGAAAGCCATTGAGCAAAACTGGAAATCCTGTAAATGCTGGAAACTACCTCAAGCCAGGCTACGCTGCTGCACGCTTGCTTAAAGGGAAGGGTTTTGACTTTGGATCCATATGATCTCTGTTCATTTATAAAAAATTGTCCTAAGCCTAATCTCAAATAGGACCTTCTGTATAAATATTTGATAGATGCACTTTAATTTGTTTTGTGTTTGGTTTTAAAGTTGAGATCACACAATTCTGATTCATTATAGCAGCAACTTTTCAATTAGGGATTATTTCAGTACTAAAGACAAAAAAATTGAAGCAGTATTATGCAAATGGGTTATTTTAAATAGTAAATAGAGAATTAAAATAAGAGTGAATCCTAAGAAGGTCACATAGCCTCACCTTCTCTATTTGATGAGAATGTGTTTAGTCAGGCAACAGCGTCTTTTATCTAAAGAGAGGATGAAGTTACCCTTTTACTTTGTAAAAACTAATTAAAACTATCTTAACTTGCATGGATATACAGTAAATTAATTGTCATTAAGTAGACATCTGAATGTCCTATCATTCATCATGCTAAAGAAAACCCCTTTCTTCTTTGTCAGAATTGTAGATTAGAAAAGAGAAACAAAACAATTAGCAGGAAGCCAATATTAAGATGCTTTTTTTTGAATGATGAGAATGCCCGTGTTTGCATTTAATAGCTAAATACTATGATCAATGCAAAACTACGCCATTTGTTTCAATCTTTCGTCTCAAGGGTTATTACGATGATTTTAAAAGTCCTCCTTCCATCCTGCTCCTTCTTGTTAAAAGGAATTAAAAAGGTGATAATTTCCCTCATTATTTGCAACCAAATTCTGAAAAAATAGCCGATTTAACCCACTGAAAGACCACTTCTCCACATGTTCCACACAACAATGGAGCAGAAACAGCAAATGTTCTGAATTTACAATATACAGACGATTACACATAGAGGCAGTCTCTTATAGTGTGTGTGTGAGGGGGGGGGGTACAGCAGAGAGCATAGTGATCAAATCTGAAGCCTCTAGACTTTACAAATAGTAACCCTATGCATTATGCATAGATGGATACAGAACTTTATAGAGAGCATGGGGAACACCCTGCCTGCTTCCTACTTTATGATGCTTGGGTATGTCTACACTACAGCACTAATTCGAACTAACTTAATTCGAATTAGTTAATTCGAACTAAGCTCATTCGAATTAGTGCATCTAGACCTAAAAACTAGTTCGAATTAGCATTATGCTAATTCGAACTAGCATGTCCACATTGAGTGGACCCTGAACCGAGGTTAAGGATGGCCGGAAGCAGTGCCGGCAGGGCATCAGATTAGGACTTAGAGCATGGAGCTACTGTCTCAGGCTAGCCGAGGGCTGTGCTTAAAGGGACCCGACCCCCACCCCGGACAGACAGTTCTCAGGGGTTCCCTCCTTGCAAAGCAGTACTGGCTTGGCGTGCCCTGAGTGCCCACACTCGGCACATCACAACACTCGGCCATCAGCCCGGCTGCACTTGCCGTAGGCTGCCATCCGGGGGGGTGTCAATTGGGGGGCTGCAGGAGAGCTTCCACCCCAAGGAGCCCGCAGAGCCACCCCATTCCTCCCTCACCACCTTTCACTTACTCCTCCCTAGTCCCCTTTCCTGATGTACAAAATAAAGGACACGTGTGTTCAAAAATAGAAACTCTCTTTATTTAACAAAATTGGGGGAGACTAGGAAAAGGAGGTGGGAGAGGGGAAGAGAGAGGGTGGGAGAGGGGAGGGCAACTAAAATGATCCGGGGTTGGGAACAGGTCCCATATGAAGAGAGGCTAAAGAGACTGGGACTTCTCAGCTTAGAAAAGAGGAGACTAAGGGGGGATATGATAGAGGTCTATAAAAGCATGAGTGGGGTGGAGAG